GGCATCTCGGTGAAGGGCTCAATGTGTGGATCTTGTTATCCATTTGATCCCAAAGACATGTTCGCTTATGGTTCATCAGCCTTAGAGAGTTAGGTGCTCTTAGGGAGTTTTCTTTGACAGCTCTTCCTTCATAAATGGCTCCAAAGGCTTAGAGTTCTTCAGATAGGATTGGTTCCAAAGACCTACAGTTAGCCTCTAGCTCCTAGTCCTCACAGAGCTCATCCTTGGAGTAGTTTCCCATGAGCTCTTCAAATATGCTTAGTTCCTAAAAACTAGAGTTGGCCTCTAGCTTATCATCCTTATAAATCTTATCTTCAAAGCTATTAGAAAAATACCCCTTGAGCTTTTTGGATAGGCTTGGTCCTAAAGGCTATGAGTTGACCATCAACTCATTGTCCTTATAGAGCTCATCATTAGAGCTATAAGAAGAGTACGTTGAGATCATCATATACAACTGGTTCTAAAGGCCAAGAGTCAGCCTCTGGTTTATCATCCTCACAAAGCTTATCCTTAGAGGTGTCAAATGAATATCCCCTAAGCTCTTTATATAGGCTTGGTTTCAAAGGCCAAGAGTTTGCCAATGGCTAATTGTCTCATCCTCTAAGTTGTCAATTGAAATTAAAATTAATTTCACATGAAGGTCAATTTGTTCAAGCCATATCACAATAAGAGAGAGTAGGTTGAGTAGCCGGTAAGAATTGTTACTAATTTTTTTCATTTTTTTCTTTTTTTGGGATGAGCCTACTTCTACACTTGACTCAACTGCAACATATAAAGGATTGTATCCATTTTATTCCTCCCAGAAGGAATGTTATATTATGAGCATTCTCAAGTTATATAACTACTCTTAGAAACATTCTATATTACTAATTATATACTAGCTACATTATCAAAATCTGAGTGATATAACTCTTAAATTAGATGGGGCAATTAAATTTATGTACACGCCAACAATGTCCAATTAATAAATAGATAATGGGTATATTCGATAATTAAAATTGACCTCATACATTAAGGTATTATATGTGGAAAATTTTTAATGAACTTAGTTTGTCTCTTGATGCCTCCCTGTGATTTTCCTCCTCCACTCACATTAGTATGTGTTTGTTTTTAACTGGATTTTTCTTTCAAAAAAAGGGAGAATTTTAATTAAGGGTGACAGTAGAGACTTAATTATTAGTGGGTTCAAAAAAATTTTAAAATTTTGGTTAAGTCCATAAGAGAAAAGTCAAGTTAATTCTAACAGTGAAAAGACTAAAATACCCTTTATTTGTTATGTAAACTTACTAGTTGTTAATTTTTTTCATTTCAATTATTAATTTACTAATATAAGTTACAAATTAGATGAGTTAACATGTTAATAATTGTATAAGACTTGACATAAGTTGTTCAATCATAAGTAGCAATATCAATTGTTAAATTACTAATTTTACTTATTAATTTACTAATATTAATTGTAAATTACTAATAGGTATTATAATTTACTAACATCAATTGTAAATTATTGTCAGGTCTTGTGATTTATAACTAATTTTGGTAAATTAAAAATTAAAGTTAGCAAATTAATAATTAACGTTACTGATTGTTTAACAAAAGGATATAATTTACAAGTGATATTGATAAATTAACAAATAAAGTAAGAAAATTAATAACTAGTAATTTTACAAAACAAGTGAAATAGTATTTTGCTTTTTCTACCATAGGAATTAGTTTGATTTTTCTTTCCTAAACTGAACTAAAATTTTAAATTTTTTTAAACCCATTAATAATTAAACTTTTATTTTGGTCCTTAATTGTAATCTGCTCTTTAAAAAAAAAATTGAGTGCAGGACAGAGAACAAGAAAGAGAGACGAGGAAGAGAATCCAACGTTCATCTTTTTCGGTCTTTAATCCCCATTGGATTTCAAAGTTCACTTGTTAGTTTACAATTATTAAAATATGCACAACTTTTTATCCTTAAATTTTAAATAAAATTTTATTTTGAATTTTTTAATTTTATAAAATATTTTTTAATCCTCTAATCTTAACATTATTAGTTTCATTAACAAACAAAAATATTAATATTAAACTTTTAAATTTAACAAAAATTCTCAAATGTTAACATATTACATTTATTTTTTAAAATAATAATAATTGGTAAAAAAACAACATTTGAGACTAACTACATAGAATTAAATGACCTAAATATATATTTTTCTAAAATTAAGAAATTAAATTAAAATTTTATTAAAATTAAAGGATGAAAGATACAGTTTTACTATTATTTTATTATTTGTATTCTTTTCTTACAAGTTCGGTACCTGAGTTTTAGCATTCCATGGGAATGTTTTATTCCCTCGTTCATGGGTTTGGGGATCACAACGTACGACAACGGGAATATGGACTGATGGCAATGGGAATGAATTTAAGACAAGTTTATCCTCATTTCTAACTTGTATTGACCAAATTTTTTAAGACAAAACCTTCCGAAAATATTGCATATCGAGCGAGCAAACATAAAAATGTTAAAATTAACCAAAATAAGTGACACCATGAGCTACAGAATATACCTTCTATCCAAAAATATAAAACATTTTTTATAAAATAAGATGTTTAAAAGTATAAAAGATTTTTGATTTCGCAATGTGTAATTAATAAGGCTTTTCCAAAAACACTCTTAGTTAGGAAATGCAATTAATAAAATTTTTTAATTAAGATACCATTTTAAATAAGATTAAACATGAAAATAGTGTATAATTTTAAAAATAATTAGTTAATTTATTAAGGGTGTAATTTGATTAAAAATATCTTATAATATTAAATAGGAGAAATATGTTTTGAATGTTATAATCAAAGATTAATGGAAAAATGATAATTAAGGATCCTCTAAGAATATTAATTTCAATTAAGGATCATAATATTTTGAAATATCAGTTAAGGACCATGATCCTTAATTGGGATAAAAAAATGTAGTTTGTGAGTGGGATTCACTAATATATCTTGAAAATTCACCAACCCAACTTGAAAAAATTGCTAACATATATTGTAAAAACATGAAACCTCACTTGAGAATTTATTGACAAAAAGCAACATTTGAGAATTCACTAACTCAACTTGAAAAAAATTTCTAATGTATATTGTGAAAACATGAAATCCTATTTGAAAATTAATTATTTCACAAAAAACCCCAATTTAGACAAATCACTTTTTATTAAATAGTTGATTTTCAACTAGGATTTTATTTTTTCACAATATACATTAGAAATTTTTTTAAGTCTAATTAGTGAATTTTTAAGTGGCGCTTTTTGTTAAACAATTGATTTTCAAGTAGAGTTTCACATTTTCACAATATATGTTAAAAATTTTTTCAAGTCAAGTTAATGAATTATTAAATAATGCTTTTTGTTAAACAATCTATTCCCAAGTGGGATTTCATATTTTCACAATATACATTGATAATTTTTTCAAGTTGAGCTAGTGAATCCCCAAGTGATGATGGTAAATCCCACCTCACAAACTATATTTTTTAATCCCAATAAAGGACCATGTTTCTTAATTGGGATTTCAAAATATTATGGTCCTTAATTAAAATTAATATTCTTAAAGGGTCTTTAATTGTTATTTTTTCAAGATTAATTGATCATGTTAGCCATTTAGAATCGAGTTTCAACCATGCTGATTTATTAGATGGCTTTGAAAGCAATTATTGAGCCCAAGTGAAGTTCTTATACGACACATAGTGGAGTGAATTATGTACTCCAAAATTAGTAATTGAAAAATATATTTTTAGATCCCTTTACTTTATTTAAATTTTATTATAGATTTTTGTATTTTATCATACTTTAGGTTCCTATATTTTTATTTTTTTAGTGTTTTAGGTTCCTATAATATTTTTTATTGAGGAATTTAGAATGTCAAAAAAAGTGCAAAAAACTATAATAAAACTTGAGTAAAATTTAGAAATTCAAAATTATGTTTTCTTTAATAATTTGCACATTACCATTTATGATTAAACAAAAACACATAGCCATAAAGTTTTCTTATAAGAATCCAGATCACCAAAGAATATGGAACTATCGACCATTTTGAGTTTGTATGCTCCCATTTGGGCAATGTTAAAAACAAATTAATTGATCTTTTTCAAGATAAAGTAATCATGTTTTTCAACTTTTTTCCTATGTCAAAATTCTAGTATTGATTTCAAAGTTAGTCAATTAATAATTTTATATTTTTTTTTTGGATTTGACAACCAGATATTTGGGCCTATTCTACTACAAACATAAGTTAGACTAACTCAAATTGAGATGGGTAGAATTACATTAACGGGTGACAAAATTCTCCAACCAAGTATATTTTGAGCAATTGTATTTTCAAGACTCAAAAGTAAAATTTTAGTTTAATATTTTTAATTAAGCTAGTACAACCTCCTCTAATTGAACCAAACACATAATAATTAATTTTGTATTATTTTAAAACTTAAATTTTCTGTTAAAAATTGATTTAATTAGTAAGAATTTGATCTATAACTTGTAAGATCATGAGATTAAATCTCATTTCTAACATGAAGACTTTTTAGTTACTATCATGAGATTAGGATTTAACTCACACAACTTTTTTTTTTTAAATAAAAAAACTTGTTTTTCCATCTTTCGAGTGAAAGTGGATCAAAATCGAATAGTTTTAATCCTTTCTTTGGGTATTGCCGTTGACACCAAATTAACCTGCCATTAGTCTGAAGTTAATTGGTAAATTCTTCATGCCTCCATTTCTGTTTGTTTGTTTGTTAGTTTTTTTTTTTTTTGTTTTTTGCTTTTTTGAATTCGCAAGCCTCCATTTCTCGTTATAGAAAATTGGTGCAAAAATATTATTTGTTTTAAATCTCATAAAATTTGGGTATTTAGATGTAATTTTTGCGAGAAGCAAATACCCGCGTTCAGCGCAGCGATAGCGACGACAGCTTTCGACCACCGAACAAAAAGTGTCAAAGAGGACGCGAGTCTTCGTCACACTCACACAGCTCAACCACGTGTTCTTCTCCCACCTCATTGTCTCCCTCCTCAGTCTCTCTTCTTGCCCAAAATAAGATTTCACAATTCACAAACAATCACACGTCCTCATCATGATATTCTTCCTCTTCTTCTTCTTTACTCTGATCCCATAATCATGTCCTTAGACGCTTCTTCGTCATCTTCCTCATTCCTCTTTTTTGTTTTTTTTCTACCATGGGACCTCCTCTTAATTACAAGTCTTCTCCTCGACAACCTTCTTTTCTCCTCCCCGCCGTTGTCTCTTTGTGTATCTTATCTCTCACTGTCCTCCTCCTCTACAAGGTGGACTTGCCTCAGATTTACTCTCTTTCTGTATTTTGATCCTTTGGGTTTCTTTCTCTTTTTGTTTCTGATCCTTTTTTTGATTCGATTAGGTGGACAACTTCGTCTCCCAGACCAAAACCGTAGTGGGTCACAACTTGGAACCAACGCCTTGGCATCAATTCCCACCCAAGTCGTTCGATGAAGAAACCCGCCATGCTCGTGCATACAAAATCATACAATGTTCTTACCTCACTTGTCGTTACAGAACCGGCGACACCGTGCAGGAAAGGCGTCGTTTCCCGGCGTCCTCTGGGTCGAACCGGACCATGTGCCCTGAGTTCTTCAGGTCGATCTATCGTGATCTTCAGCCTTGGGCTGCTTCTAAGATATCAAAGGCTCATTTGTTGGAAGCCCAGAACTATGCTGCTTTTCGGCTCCTCGTTGTTGGGGGCAAATTGTATGTGGATTTGTACTATGCTTGTGTACAGAGTAGAGCAATGTTCACTATTTGGGGATTCTTACAGCTTCTTAGGAGGTATCCTGGGATGGTACCTGATGTAGATATAATGTTTGATTGTATGGATAAGCCTACTATTAATTGGACAGAACACCAGTCAATGCCTTTGCCTCTTTTTCGATATTGCACAACCGATGAGCACTTTGACATCCCTTTCCCTGATTGGTCTTTCTGGGGTTGGTAAGGCTTTCTTGGCTTTTTTGTCTAGTTTTGTTAAAATTATAACATCCATCATGTCAGTTATTTTAACAAAAAGAGAAAGTTTAGTTTCACAAATTAATCCAACTGGGAGATTTATGCCTAGAGAGTTATAAATTTTGGGTGACTATATTCAAGCATCAAAGCCATAATTTATAAATATCAAATGTTTATTTTTCTCAATTATTTTGTGACTTGTTAAAAATAAAGTTTCATCATGGGTCCTCTGGCTTTAGAGGCTTGATATGTATCCCTTGATTTGTAGTTTGGACAAGTTATGGTTTATTTGAATGGAAAAAATCACTTTGATGTCTTATTCATTTGTTCTTGTTTTAGTCAACTGCTGAGTTTTGATCAATGCGTTTGCTGATGTCTCATATCTTAATGAAAAAGTAGAATCAAGAGAGAAAAATAGTGAAAGCCTGAGAGCAGTTTGATGTCAAGTGAAGTGCCAGAGAGAATCTTAGAAATTTCATTGGCATGTCTAGTCCTTATGTTATGTATTTGATTTTCAGGTCGGAGATAAACATCCGACCATGGCATGAGGAGTTCCCAGATATCAAGAGAGGTTCCAAAACTGTTCCTTGGGATAAGAAGCAGCCATTTGCATATTGGAAAGGAAACCCAGATGTTGGCTCGCCTATTCGTATGGCATTACTAGAATGTAATGATACTGTGATGTGGGGAGCTCAAATTTTACGTCAGGTTGTGTTAAACTTACCATCCAAAATCGGTTGTTAAACATTTTACCATATAAGTATGCTTTATATCAAAGTTTGCTGTCTGATGTATTTTGATAATTGTTACAGGATTGGGGTGAACAAGCTAAAACTGGTTTTAAGGAGTCAAAACTTTCAAATCAGTGTAATCATAAGTAAGTGTGCTTATTGTGATGTTATCGCACAAGTAGGATAAATGTGCATGCCATCTGCATTATTAAAATTTCCATTTCACTTTTATATCTTGAATGTTTTCATAATGTTAAGAGGCTACTGTTGGAATTAAGTGGAGTGTTTCAACTTTGAAATTTACACAAATCTCAATAAATGAAACTGATAAAGGAAAGAGTGAAACATGCTTTCAACAATGAAATTGTTCGTTATTTTACAATCACTCACATATTCATTTCTCTTATAATCAAGGCCAAAAATACCTTAGTAGCAGAACAGACTACAACTAGTCTGAATAAAACTCTTGAAACCACAAGGGACAAACTGATTTGAGGACAAACCAAAGTAGAGTGAATTCTGATGCACTCAATATCGTAGTTTTAATCTCCAAATTCACATTTTCTCTAAACAGGATGTTTTTTTACTGATCTTCTTGTCTTTGCCCCATCCTTCATTTCTTCTCCTTCCCTTAAATAAATTATCACTTTCAGGTACAAGATCTATGCTGAAGGATATGCATGGTCAGTGAGCCTGAAATATATTCTTGCGTGTGGTTCTGTTGCACTAATGATATCACCACAGTATCAAGATTTTTTCAGCCGTGGTCTTATTCCACAGAACAACTTCTGGCTGATTGATGCTTTTGATTTATGTCCATCTATAAAGCGTGCTGTTGACTGGGGTAATGGTCACCCAGCTGAGGTACTTTTATACTTCTTAGATATGGTCTTATCACTTTGTTTTATCCCTCATGACCGATATAAATGCTATGCCTTTTCTTCAACTCATGGATATAATAATAAGGGCAAGGTGCAAAGTTGTCTTGATAGTCTCAAGATATTAAGATTAGGGAGAATATGAGCTACGTGTTGTTAAAGTATTAGTACTGTTTTTGGGAAGCTATGATACTGCGGATAAATTGGTGCTTCCTGATTTCATTAGGAATACTTGTTCCATGGTGTGGAGCAATGTATACATGTACATATACATAGCCAATGGCGTTGTTGCCTAGTGGAATGCAAACTCTCCTATAAGTGAGAGGTTGTGGGTTCAATCTAGCTTGTAACCTTAGACCATTAGTGTCTTCCCCTCTAATTCAAAAAATATATACACACACACACACATTTACATATGCTATCCCATTTTAGATCAAACCTAAAACCTATATTTTTGTTCTCTCTAGTATTCTGCTTCATATTAATGTTGAGAAGATGTATAGAGATAGAGTGTATTCAATCAAGTAAACAAGCAAAGAAAGAATCCTTTTAAACTTGTGCAAATTACACTGTTCTTAAAGCAATATTTATTCCCCCTAAATGCTACAATGTAATGACAAATTTGCTTCTTGGAATTATCGAAACAGCCTTATAGAGGTACAATGAGCAATTGATAGATCCCTCTATTCTAGAATGTTGCCTTGCATCAGAGAAAAGTTAGAGAGGGTAGAAACGAATTTTTGGTTCCAATTTTGTGTACAGACACTGGATTTTATAGACATAATCTGAAGAATAATGTCCCTTCATGAGAGGATACAAACTTTAGACTTAAAAGTCTCCTTTAGCAGACAAACGAGTTGTGTTTCTGATACATCTAACTGACTCTAACCAGTCAACTGGTTAACAGGGAACATGTTTGTTCAGTGGAGGGACTCTGGCCACCTACCTGCTCAGAGAACCAAATGTGCTCTTTTCTTCATTTTATCTATCTGGTCAATTGGTTCACTGACCCGGTCAACTAGTTGCTTCCAGAAAAGCACTTCTTTTTGACACATAATTGACTTGTCCTGTGAATCAGCAAACTGTTGCCTTCAAGACTTGGCTTTGTTATTAGATTTTAAAACTTTTCTCAACACTTAACTTTGTTTTTCCTTAATAATACCAATTAGTTTGGTTCATCTTGTATTGCTACAGGCTGAAGCTATAGGCAAAAGAGGGCAACAACTAATGGAAACTCTGAACATGGATAGAGTTTATGATTACATGTTTCACCTTATTTCTGAGTACGCAAAACTGCAAGACTTCATACCATCGCTACCTCCATCAGCCATGGAAGTTTGTTCAGAGTCTGTGATGTGCTATGCCAATGACAAGCAAATGGCATTTCTCAAAGAATCAACTTCCTTCCCGTCACAATCTCCTCCCTGTACTCTCACGCCTCCCAAGATTGATCATCCATAGTGTAAGCTCAAAATCCTCTAAATTGTTTTGTTAAAAAAAAAATACAGTGAATTAGAAATATTACAGTACCTTTACATTTATAAAATCATGAAATAGGAGAGAACTTAATAGAGAAGAACATTATGTGTCGTTACACTCATCCTCTCATTTATCACTATTTATTAAAATCAAATGTTCTTTGTTCCTTTTGACTGTAGACAGATTCTGGTTGATATTATCATGTGTAGTCTAGTTCTTGGATGTTGATCTCACTTCACTTGCCATATTGAATGTGAACTCTAAACACAGATATGTTTATCTATATGAAATTTACACCTAAGAAAAGATTGAATTTGCTTGGAAAAGATGATGATATAGAGCATCAAAGAGGATGACATCACTGTGAACATTTTGGTCCTGACATGGAAGAAGAGAACTAAGTTTCAGAATTTGTTAAATCTTTAAGTACCCTCTTTGTCATCATCCTTTGAAAGGTATTCTTTACATGTCCAATCAAGCTGAGAGGGCAGAATAATTTTCTCAATTTTCTAACTTATTATTATTATTTTTTTGGAGTGGAAATAACTTTATTTATTTTTCTAAAAAATGATTTTATGATTGGATGCTTGACCATTAGGTGATATTTTCTTTTTGAGTACACAGGAGGACTATTAGGTAATTTGCTCAACTCATTCTTGTAGGTAAGTTATTTAAAATGGTATAATAAATTGGAGAGTACTACAAATGGGCCAATACGTTTAATTGAGCGATCTCTTTAATTGTTAAACTGAAGGCGCTGTACAACAGAGATTCCAAAATTCATTTGAATAGTGAAAATTTCAAAGTTTTTCATTGCGTTTTTTCCCCTTGAAATAATAATTTACATTAAAAAAAACGTTTTAATATCAATTGAATTTTTTGAAGTTGCATTAAATTTTAAGTAATTTGAATTGAATCAAGTTAGATTGTACGAGTGTGAAGTTCTCTCGTGGTAGTTTTCTCCGCACATGCAATTGGAATTGAAGTTGATTAAATTTTCTATCATAATTGAAGGAAAGAAATTGTACAGCCAGATTTTATCCGTCCTATCAAAAAAATAAAATAAAAAAAAGAAGAAGAAGAAAAATAAAGAAAAGAAAGAAATTGTACATCAGCTTATGAACAAGAATTATTAACAAATATCCCAATGGAATCCTAACCAATCTTAATTATCAGTAACTAATTGGACTTAGGTCTAACAAAAGATATTAGTTTTTTATAACATGATGAGTTAAAGTTGGAGAGATATTCACATTTAATATTCAACTAACATCCTCAAACAAGATTGTTTTTACGGGTGTCTGGATGTAATTAAGAAAACTTGTTCAATCTATAAATCTACACAAATAAGTTTTTATTTATGCTTGATCTCTCTAAACTGACTAATTTAAGGGTCTAGGATAAAGTTTATTGGGTTTAAGATTTCATGTTAATAAGTCAAAATTAGTTAACTAATAATATTAAAGAAGTGTTACATTTTGGACCATGTTCTAGTTGGCATTGCTGAAATTTTTGGTATTTTACATGGGTTGAATTTATATTGAACGAAGGGATTTAGAACTGTAAAAGTCTTTTGTGATAGTGCTTATGCTATGTCAATTATCACACAAGGCAACAATAATTATCATCCCTTCGGTGATATTGTTTAGGCTACTAGAAGAATGTTACAAAGATGATAACAAGGAAGCCAATTATTTGGCTAAGTTGGCTCATAGTGTTTCTTGTGACTCTATTTGTATAAGGAACCGCCTCAATAGGTGTATCTTTAGTTTAATGAGGGGGTCCTTTTGAGTTTTTTCTCTCTTTATTAGGTTTCTCTTTGTTTATGCCTATTTACATTCCTCTGAATGAAGTGTCCTAGTTTTATTAAAAAAAAAATAGCCAACTATATTGCCTAATAGGACAATGAAAAAAAAAAAGAGAGATTAATTTAATTTAGAAAAAAACACAATTGTTGGTCCTATAATTTTATTAGGTTTTGCTTTTAGTCTTTATAGTTTTTTTTAGTGTTTTTAATTCCTATAGTTTTAAAAAGATTAGGTGACATTTATATTTTATGTCCATATAATTTTAGTTTTTTTAATGTTTTTAATTCTTATAAAGATTGAAAATTTTAAAAAAAACTATAAGTACTAAAAATAAAACTCGATAAACCTACAAGATTGATGATTGCAATTTTTTTTTTTTAACATTAGCAGAGAAAGTAGGAATAAGATTGGTTTTGAATACATTGCCTAACAAGAGAATCAAAACAAGGAAGTGAGAATAAGACTGATTTAACATGAATAGGACATGATAGTGAAAGGCATATAATTAGCATGTGAGCAGCTGAACACAATTAATGGTGAATCCTCAGGGGTTGAGTTGTCTGACCACATTCACAATAACTTAGTATCTTAAACTAAATGGAGCCTCTTCAAGGTATTTGAATTATTTGCTTGATTGATAGAGACTAACTTTTCAAGCTATTAATGTTTGTTTTTCAAAAATATCTATTAAAAATGCCAAAAAAAAAAACGTTGGTGTTGCAAAACACACAAGTCTCTCCCATGTACTGTTTTTTTTTTTTTTTAAAATTATATCACCCAGCATTTAGGAAAACTTATAGCCTGTTTGGTTCAATACAGTGTAAGGAGATTACCTGTAATTCTGATGTATTATATAATTTCAGCTGTTTGGTTGGCATCAGGTAATGTAAAGGGGATTACATCATACACTGTAAAGAGAATTATATCAATAAACCTTTGTAATCTCCATTACAACTACATTGTATAATACCTTTTTTCATATAACATACCAAACAAATACATGTAATCCTTATTATATTTCATTCCATTTTTTAGCATTACATTACATTACATTCCTTCTGATTTTTTGAACCAAACGGGCTATTGAAGATATTACCGATTTACCATCACCTAGTCAAATTAATTTGAACTCAAGCTGTGGGAGAGTGTTATTGTCAATGTGACTTCGGTGTGTCTTTGGATATTTTTATTTAATACAACTACATAGCTTAAGATTCAAATTCAAAATTTTAGAATAAGGTAATTGGACTCTTTTGACTAGCCAAATCAAGTGCCTCTGGGCAATCTCTCATGTACTATTGCTGTATACTTTACAAGGGTATGCATTTGAGTGTGATGGTTTAAATTGGATTAAGGCTATAAAATTTTTTTAACTAAAAATTAATAAAACTTAGGCCTTCCAAATGTTCAAATGGTTGGGATAAATGTATCTGTACTCAAAAAAGAATTTGGGTTGGTCTAAAATAAATGCTACCTATCCAAACATAAGGAGAATTAATTAATTAGAAAAATACTTATATAAGGTGATTGTTTTTAAATAAGTATTTTCTAATTAATTAATTAATTAGAAAATATTTATTTACGGTGATTATTTTTAATTAAATCAATACATGTAGATTTTTTATATATTATTTATTATATAATAAATTTCTATCATTAATATTATTTACACTTTAAAATTCATTTGTTCTAATTTGATTAGATAAATATTCCAAGTTCATCACGCTAAGTACTTGGGTCTTTTCCTAATTAATTTATTTTATAAATGCCTTCCGCTAATTACATAGTCAAGTCTTCTCACCAAGAACGAGAGGCGAGGGGAAATATATATTTTTTAAATAGAAACATGAGACATTTTCATTAGGGAGAATGACAATTAAGGACTTGCTAAGAATATTAATCTCAATTACGGACCGTAAAATTTTAAAATTAAAATTAAGGACCATAGTCCTTAATTGTGATTAAAAAAATATAATTTGTGAGGTGAGATTCACTAACGTGACTTGGGAATTCACTAACCCAACTTGAGAAAATTACTAACGTATATTGTAAAAACATGAAACCCTACTTGGAAATGGAATGTTTAACAAAAAGTGCCACTTGAAAATTTACTAACTAGACTTGAAAAAATTTCTAACATATATTGTGAAAAAATAAAACCCCACTAGAGAATCATTAATAAAAAGTGACTTATCCAAATTGGTGTTTTTGTATTAAACAATCGATTCTTAAGTGAAGTTTCATGTTTTCACAATATACGTTATAAATTTTCTCAAGTTGAGTTAGTGAATTCCTAAGTGGCAATAATGAATCCCACATCACAAATTACATTTTTTTAATCACAATTAAGGACTATGGTCCTTAATTAGGATTTTAAAATTTCATGGTCTGTAATTGGGATTAATGTTTTTAGCAGGTCCTTAATTGTCATTCTCCTTTTTCATTAAGAAAAATAAACAAGCTTACAAACAGCAATGGAACAACAACAGGCACTACGGTTAAAAAAAAGAGAGAATCACATTTAGCCTCATTTCAATAGAATTAACCACATATAAGGATCAACAATAAATTCTATTTGAGAAAAAATAAGTCATATTTCCATTTTAACAACAACCTGTTTCGCATTGGTCTTTATCTGTGCTATGTGTCGTAGCTCTAATCGTCTTTGTGCCATGCGTTACGGCACATTGCACGAATATGACAGCAAGTAGCTGCTGTCATATGACAACACCAGGAGCAGACTTCTGACACATCTCAAATCTCCATTCGACATGCAATTGAGGTGATTTTGATGTCTATATGGTGCTTTCTCCTAACTCTAGCTAATGAAAAAGATTTCACACTCAAAATTGTTTTCTATAAAGAGTTAGACACCTAAACCCATTTTCATCACTTTTTCATAAAAACTCATAACAATGGTGTCCCAACTCACACATAAGTGCTAAAAGCCTACACTAATTATCTGACCACACTCAATGAACTCTAAAGGACTCACGTAGCATACCATACTCAACTAAAAACATATAAATCACAAATTCACCACTCAACCCCATAATTCATTAAACACAAAGGGGAGGAAAACTTTGTACAAACAATTCATTTTCATTCTAAATTAATCAAAATACACATGTTCCTACTTACACGAGTATTCTGACCTTATCCAAGGGTTTACAACTAAAACTCACTAACCCAAAACACAAAATACACAACTGTGACACTAATAATGCAAGTAGTACAAAAATATTCATGTGAATTCTTAGTTGGCAAATTAACAAGTTTAGTACACATAAAACAAAGTAAAGAGGCATACAAATAGGATTTACACCAAATCCTAAGCCTCAGTATGCTTTCCCTGCTCTTGATTCGATAAGTTAAGCTTTCAAAATATTTAAGAATTGAGGGATGAGTATAACCATTCAATACCT